CTGAGTAGCAAAGGTTAAGAACCACTGATCTTCTAGACTCCTCCAGGCTGTGATAAAAAATCTGCCAGCCGTGCCAAGGGAGGCACCGCACTCTTCCCGTCCAAAGCGGAGTCCCGCCATCCCCGGGGGAAGCCGGTTCCTTAAAGCAGCGCGCGAGAACTGCCCCCTGGCTGCGGCGGCGGCTGTCTCCCCGGGGGACCCGACGGCCGCGGCACGAGGGAGGACCGGCCGCCTCTCCAACCCCGCCTGCCCGGCGTCGCAGTAAAGCCGCTGCTCTCTCGGGGCGACCCGCCGACTCAAGAGGCGCCCGCTTTATGGAATGGGAAGCCAGCCAAGGGCGCAAAGGCTTCTGGGAACGAAGTGCCGCCCCGTATACCACGTGGGGGCGGAGCCCGCCGTGACCCGCCCCCTCGATGAAGGGGCGTGTCAAGAGCGGGGGAAGCCTTTTAACCCTATCATTGCCAAGCCCCAGAGATGGAGGGCTTTCAAGTCCACGAGACCTACTCCCCCCCACGTAGATTTCCAAAGGGGCCGCTCTGTTAGGCTGTAGGAGCCAAAGCTATTACGAGTCATTGAAATCCTGAACTCTGTATCAGATTTATTAGAGCATAAACTTGCATGACATAGTTAACTTCGAAAGATGTATGAAATGTTATCCAGAATTTCAGGGAGAATATGGATAGGTATATAATACACATGTTTGGAGGAGGGACTTCTAGATGTTAGAAAAGAAAAGGAAATTAAATGCAGAAGGTTCCAGAGCCTGGGAAAGTTACTCTTTGGGGTGCATCTCCAGAATCCCCCAACTAGCATAAGTATCCAAATACTAACTTTTTAGAAGTCCTGCAAAGTATTCTTACAATATTTGGTTAGAGATATGCCAATATGTGATCTTGGACTACAGTTCCCAGAATTCTGTGCTGCCTGAAGAATTCTGGGAACTGTAGTCCATAAAACAACAAATCTGCACACCACTACAAGTGATTATACACAAAACTCATGCCACAAATATCCTAGCACTTAGCCAATTCACACCTAGCGCATAAACAAGAAAAATCAGGAAGTGGGATTGAAGGGGGGGGGGTCTCCAGCCTTCTCAATATTTTGAAAATATTTATTCTGGACACAAGATGGCTGGTGGGAGACACATTCTGTGACTAACCTTCCCCAGGCTGGAATCCTCTGGATGTGTTGATATTGTAGTGCAACACATTTGGAAGAGCAGAGCTTGGAAGTAACGAGTTACAGACTCGAGTCTGTAACTCATTATAGTTACAGAGTCAGAGCTTGGAAGTAACGAGTTACAGACTCTGATATAGTCACAATTAATTCCCCCAATGATGAAGGCATGAAGAAGTCACATTGATTGGAACAAATCCTTCGACTTTTTCAATTTAGTTATAACTTTTAATTTTTTTTAAATGCAAGGAGTTAGTTTCATTAAATGCTGGGGAAGGAGGAGGACATAACGCTGGTATGCATCCAGATTTTAGTTCCTTCATACAGTTTGTAACCAACCCCAGCCAACAGGAAAAACAATAAAGGGATTATGTAGTTCCAACTCCAAAGGTGAGTGAGAATCAAAGCAATGCATCTGTCTGTTGTACTTAAGAACCATTGTCTTTCCTTGATGGATTTAACAACGAAGAGCACTGCTTTGGCTCTTTTTTTAAAAAAAAAGGGAGGACCGTAACCATGGCAACGGAGGAGTCCTAGAAAGTCACTCCCCCACCTTTTGTTTTAGTGACGTCATCAACGAGCGCGGCGCCCCGACCCCTTCGGCCGCTCCGTGGAAGCGGCTGATAAGCGTCATCGGGAGCGCGACGACGGAGTGGCGCTCGGGCCCTGAGGATGTAAGTAGCTGATACCGGCGGGGCTATCCGTTGCCATCCGGTCCGGCCTTAGGGGCGGGAGGCGGGAAGGGCGCCTGAAGGCCTCGAGAGCGGGCCCTGGCAGCCGTTCGGACGAGGGGCGGCCTGACGGACGGAGCCTGGCCCTCCAGGGAATGGGGGGGGGAAGAACCTTCTCGGGCCGGGAACGGGGGGGCGGCAACGGCGGCGGCTCCTCCTCGTGAGTCCGGAGGGGGGAAGGCGGGAAGGGTGCCGCCATGGACGCCAGTCCCCCCTTCGCCCGCCTGAAAGCCGCCGAGCCCCGGGAGAGAAGGTCTCCTCGGAAGGCACCTTTCCAGCTCCTTGCCTTTTCCCAGAGGGCCCCGCTAAGGCTGTGCGGTGCCTGCTATCACGTTTCCCTCCTCCCACCTTCCACCCAGGACCCCAAGGGGGGGTGTGTGTTTATGGGCCTGGGGTATGAGTGTAACCACTCCACCCCACTGCCCCTGGTTCTCTCCAGACCTGCTAGTCTGTTGTAGCAGAAAGGTGTGGCACAGGATCTCCCTTGCTGAAGTAGGCATTCTTGTTTCATAGCAAAAAAAATGCAGGTTATTTGGCATCCACTTCAGTGCAACACAACCCCCTCTCTCAGTGGGTCTTTTGGGGTGCCCTAAGATGGTTGTTTTTCATTATGCCACATTTATATTGGGGGCATTTCTATTGCTCTTTCTCAGATTTGCCATTAGGCTGTTGCAAATCCAGATATTAGCCAAGTGGTTTGTGCATCATGGGGAACGGACAAATCTCTTTGGCAGGCTGGTTTTTAGCAGATTTCCTCAATCTCTGTGTGGCAAATCTGATTTGGGTTCTACCTTCAGGCAGGGGTTGGGCTGGATGACCTTTGGAGGCCACTTTCAACGGCTGGTTTTTAGCAGATTTCCTCAATCTCATGTTTCCTATGATGGCTGGAGGTGATGGGGATTGTAGTCCAAAATTCCTGAAGGCCCCAGTGTTGGGGGAAGAGGGAGACTCTGGTTTACAGTCAGAGATGGGGGTAGGTGTTTTGCGTGATGAATCCCTTAATCGCTGGCTGGATCGCATGTAAGAGGCAAAGTTGAAAACAACTGGAAGACAATGGACTAAAGATATTTAGAGATCTGTGCGATCGTCTTGTGTGGATTGGAACAAGTGTCTGAAGCAACCAACTTCACCTCCACTACTGCATCTTGTGTTGGAAGATAAATAGCTTCTGATTGCTTAGTTGTTCTGTCTCATAACTGCTGACAAACTAATTGTACGTCAAATGTTTGATCCCCCCCTTTAAAAATGTATAAGCCAATAACTATGACCACATCCTGTAGCAGTGAATTCCATATATAGAGGACTAGGGCTGGAAGGGACTTGAGAGGCCATTGATTCCAGCCTTCTGGTACAACAAGAAATCCTGCTTGAAGCATTCCTGAGAGGTCATCACTTCCCATGTTGAAGTGTTCGTCTTCCTATGAGGCAGTCCCTTGAAGTTCTTCCTAATATTGAGTCACCATCTGTTTCCCTTTACTTCATGCCCGTTTCTTTGAGTCTTTCACTCTGGGGCTGCAGAAAACCTCATTCCATTGTCTACGTAACAGCCTTCAGATATTTGAAAATGGCCATCATGTCACCTCTTAAGTTCCCTCTTCCCCAGATTGGACATACCATTCCAAACCTTTTATCCTGGTCACCCTGTTGTGGACATGTTCCAGTTTACCAATATCCTTCTTAAATTATGGTGCCCAGAACTGGATTAGTTATTCCAGGTGAGGTATAACTAATGCAGAATAGAGTACTGTAGTAATATTACTTCCTTTGATTTCTGCATGATACTTCTGCTGATGTAGCTGAGTATCCCATTAGCTTTCTTTGCTGTTGCTGCTGACTCATGGTTAGCTTGTAGTCTACTCAAACCTTTAGTTCCTTTTCACTTGTGGTGTTGTCAAGCTAACTACAGTATCTCCCATCCTAGATTTGTACTTATGATTTTTCCTGCCTAAATGCAAAACTTTACATTTTCCCTCATTGAAACTCATTTTCTTTTGGCCCACTTCTCCAGTCTGTTAAGGTCCTCCTGAATCCTCCTCCTAACTTCTGAAGTAGTAGCCACTTCTCACAGATAGGTTTTGTTGTGGGAAGGATTGCTTTCTCTTTGAAAATTGGACAGCCGTGTGGCAAATCTGATTTGGGTTTTACCCTCAGGCAGGGGTTGGGCTCGATGACCTTAGAGGCCACTTTCAATTCAGTTATTCTATGACCTAAATCTACTATTATTGACTCTTGTCACTTGATCTTGAGCTTAAGGACTGTGTGGAAAGGATGAGGGTCTACTTGTGTAAAGTCCACTCATGAAATTTTATATTCTTTCCTGCTCCGTTCTTCCCCCAGTCATGCTTTGAAAATGGAAAAAAAATCACTTTTTAGTGGTGCAATAAAAGAGATCACCCACTCTTGCATTTCCCCCAATTACTTTAGTTTCTGCTTATAGAGGATATCCCAAGCCTTTGATAATATGTACTACCCTTCTGTTTGCTGTTTCCAGTATGTTTGAGACACGACATGCAGTACATAATGAAATATTCCATATCTAGCCACATCATTTGCTTCTGATTTGGGATGATGGGACTGTTTTCTAATACATCTGAAAAATCCTGGTTTGGGGAAAGCTACGTGTTTATTCAAAGCAAAGTCCTATACAGAGGTTTAGACTTTCATAGCATTTGCAGACTTGGTGCAACACAAGGCTCCCCATATCCTTTGAGGACAGATGAGATACAAATTACCAGAGAGAAAATAAACAGGTATTTGGGAGATGCATATAGATTTTCTTAGAAATATTAATAGAGTGGGTCTGTTTCTCCTTCCTAAATCCATAAGATGCAGGGCTGCATTCATAACACATTGTCAAAAGAACCAATAAGAAATCTGGTATATCCTGAAATAAGTTTCATGACTATGAATGTTCTAAGGAGTAGAATCACATGTTCTTCCCTAAAATATATGTAAATAACTAATCCTTCTTGAATGGGCTTTGAAGGAGTATCTTCTGTTGTTTTTGTTAACTGTACTGTACACTGGAAATTGTGATCTTGGAGGACTGCCCTGCTGCTGGACTAGAAGCTTGCGGTGTATCAATGTTTGATCTCCCTTGCCTCTAAAACGCCAGTCAACTGTTTGACAGTTGTATGTTAAATTATAAACCTTTCCATTAACAAGGTTGCTCATTGCTATTAGACTATCAAAGAAAACATTATTTGTGTTGGGTGCATTGTACACCAGTGTACATGGTATAGCTAAGAAAGAATTCTGAACATACCCTTTTAATCACAATCCTGGTTGTTTTCTACAAAATAAAGGATTTGTGGTTTTAAGTTTAAAGACACAAAATGCAAAAATAACCACAATCTCTCAATCCCTGCTTATTCATGTAGGCCTGGTAGATTAACAAGAACTGAAGGATACCCATTGCCTGCATTTTGTAAATGTTACCCTTGGGATTGGTTTTCTTGAGAGATGAATGCATAAAACAGGGCAAAAAATATCTGAATCTTACAGATCCTAGATGCTGTATCATTCTTTTCGGTAAGAGTTGTACGTATTTATGTGTTTTGAAGCATTGTTTTGGCATTACAGTTGCAGTATCTTACAGATCCTAGATGCTGTATCATTCATTTTGGTAAGAATTGTACGTATTTATGTGTTTTGAAGCATTATTTGTACAAATAAAGGCATTACAGTTGCAGCTAAGATTGTAGAGCAAGGAAGCAGCAGCTCTACTCTAGCTCTCTGGAGATTTCTCTCTTCACACTGGAATTTAAAGACAACAACAGGGTTCCTAGCCCTGCCATGTTTTTCTTCTCTGATTGGAATACCTCAAGCCATGTGTGTCAGATTAAGAAAGCTGTTGTGTTTGTGAAGACAGTTTTTAAGTAGCCAGAATCAGATTACTGTACGTCAGTATACAAAACCTTAGTGTTCATGCCCTATGCGGTCCACAAGACGTTACTGTGGTATATGTGAAAAAGCAGCTAAGCACTGCTGTCGAATGTTCCTCTGTGCTCTGAAGCCATGGGCTTTAAGCTCTGTTTGGACTCTTATGTATTCCTCAATTACCAGTTTCTGAGATTGAACTAGGGAGTGTGACTAAAATTGCTGTTTAACAAATACAGCTGTGCTAATTGAAAAGAAAATCTTAGTGGTACTAATTAAAATCTGCATAAAGAATTTTAAAAAAGTAGACTTATTAGGTAGGATAATATATTTCTGGGAGACGTTGACTGCTGTTTTTGCTGTTACTGTATGCTGCTAATCTTATTTCTCAGCGTGTATTTATCAAGAAAACAGAGTAGGGTAAATAAGACATTGAATATGCAGAGAGCAATTTTGAACCAGTTCACTCCTTGTTGGGATGCTGGATATCTAAAGATGTGGTGCTAACTAATCCATAGATTGAAAACAATATAGCAGTCCATATGTTCTTAGCTCTTTGGTTGCAAATGTTTTCCTCCCTTTAAAATGGTGCTTCGAAAGAAATTTAAAATGCTGTCTTAAATGCATTGTTCAAGCTCTCCCGTAATGCAGTGGGGCGTGTACTATGGGGCTTTGCATGAACCTTGTGTGCCTTTTCTTGTGAAGCAGGCTTCTTTCTTCTCCCTGTATGTTAATTGTTTTTCCATCTTTTTCTCTTGTCACTAGGCTACTCTTTGGCATTTACTGCACTCGCTTAGGGATCGTTTCTCAGAATCAAGGAGTTAGAAGTAAGCTTTCAGATAAGTGAGGCCCCCCGCAGTGCTGCTTTCGGACTCAGAAGGGGAAAATGGAGCTGTCAGGAGTGAAAAAGAAGAGTTTGCTAGGCATCAAAGAAAATAATAAAAAGTCCAGCACTAGGTAATTTCTGACTTTTCAAGACTTAACCCCTCTTGGCGGGGGGGGGGGTCTGTGCAGCCTAATGGGAGCTTTCCCAGTGAGCATGAGGTCTGGAAATGTCATCTTCCCCCCTTTCCTTAAGGTTCCATATGTACCTAAAGCCATTGGTTTTATTTCATGAAACGGCTCCATAGTGTAAATGCGGGGTATGTGTGCTTAGGACTCTTGACCTTGTAAGAGTGGCTGTTCTCACTTTTGTTGGCAACTGAAATTGGGAAGGAAATCACTTTTGCCAACGACTGTTTCTTGAAGGGCTCCCTCTCCCACCAAGCGCAAGGACCGGACTGAAGAGAAATCCAAGGATAGGTCCAAGGACAAACCAGCCACCAAGGAATCCAGCGAGAAGGATCGTGGGCGTGATAAAAACCGCAAAAGGCGCAGTGCTTCCAGTGGGAGTAGTAGCACCAGGTAAGAGTTATTGCTAATTGGAAAATCTTGAATTTATTAAAGGACATATCCGGGACTCGCTCTTCCAAGAACAGTTATCCAGGAATTAAAAATGGCTTCCTCTGAAGAACCAGGCAATTAATTTTCAGATGTTGGACATTCAGTGTGGCTGTGTTCACACATCACAATCAGCCGTGGTATCATTTTGTCGGAAAGATGCACCTGGCTCAGAGCCAGCAGATTGATAAGTTCTGAGATAAGGGGCTCGTGGAAGCAATAATGTGAACTTTATTTGGTTTTAGACCACCTTCACAGACTGAGGTTTTGAGCACTTGGGAGTTTGCATGGCGCTGCTGGCTCTGAATTCAGGGCGGGGGAAACTACCAGTGTTAAGTTTGAACTGCATAAAGGGTTCGTTCACACGCTCTTGGGATAGCAGGCGAAGAGGCTAGTTCTCATCAGGCCTGCATGTTCCATTCTGATGTTTCTCTGCCAGGTCTCGGTCCACTTCCACATCCAGTTCGGGTTCCAGCTCCAGCACAGGTTCCAGCAGCGGATCCAGTTCCTCCTCGGCGTCAAGCCGTTCCGGGAGCTCTAGCACTTCTCGTAGCTCCAGTTCTAGCAGCTCATCGGGCTCTCCGAGCCCTTCCCGGCGCAGACATGACAACAGAAGACATTCTCGTTCGAAGTAAGTCCAGGTGACCTGAGTGAACAGTCTCTGTGAAACCTGACAAATATTGGTCTATTGTGGTGTGCTTGCCACCTTAGCTCTTTCCTCCTCCTAAGCACCTATCTTTAATGTGGTTTTCCCAACCATCTTTTGGTGTAATTAACACTGACCAGTCTTGGTCTCTTTTCCTTGATTGTTTACTTTATCCTCATTGGCCTTGCTACACACTTTTTGGAAGCAAGAGGATGGTGATATCTGGAGGTCACGTCACTGGTACGTTTGGCTTGTTATTCCAAACTTGGTGGGGAATGTAGGGTGTTCTAGTCCAGATGCTATTGGACTTCATCTCCAATAATCTCTCTCTTTTGGCTGTGTTGGCTGGACTGAAGTGGGGTTGCCGTGCCCAGGTTGCCTGCTCCTTGAGAGTAGTTCCCCAGCAATGCGGTCCTTGGATGTCTTGGCGACAGAACTTGAGATCCTCTCTTTTGAAAGCATGAGCTTTACTGTAGAGCTACAGCTCTGTGCCCAAATGCATTCTGTACATTTTCAGTGGCAAAAAGCATATTTGGAATATTTCTGCTTGAGTTAAATTCTAGCTGTAGATGTAATAATATTTTAAATATTGTCCTGGTATAAATTTCACAAAGTTCAGATGGTTTCTAATGGTAATCTAGAAAGTGGTGTAAGAATTGTTGTTTACGAACTGAAAATTACCAAGTTCTAAGGTGAACATGAGTGTTAGGTAGAGTTTTCTGCTTTCACATCTTCTTTGCAAGTCTGAAATGATGCATGTTCTTTAATAAACTGAGTTTCAGGAGAAGATTTCGCTGCAGTACGTCAGAATGTCAAACTACAAAGGCAGACAGTTTTAAGATGGGATGAGAGAACATAACATTTGGAAAGAACAGACTTCATTCCTTATCCCACCAAAAGCTCCAAGTTTGATTGTCACCATATTCTTCTGGAGAAATTTCTGATTCTTTTGATTTGTCCAGCAGTTTCTGGTGCAACTTCCTGGCATGCTGTAGGCCATGTTACGATGCTGAGAGAGACTATTTCAAATGCTTCCTTGGGCTATACATTTGTGGCTTAAACACTTAGCATAGGGTAGAATAACTAACTGGATCCTGTTTGGTGTGTTTCATGTTCTTGTAAATCTCCACTGGATAACGATTATGTGCTGTTGAATCAATTCCAGCTTTAGGTAACCCTACCAGGCTTTCAAGATATAAAGTACTCAGAAGTGGACTACCATTTCTTCCTTCTGGTGGCACTCTGGGACGGTGCAGCTTGCCCATTGGTGCAAGTGGCAGGACATGTAACAATATCAGCCTCGCATGTACTGGATGATCTTAGCTGGCCCCTCACCTAGGAGGCACAGTGGACTCAATCTCCTGTCCCCTGGCTCTTGTCTGCAGCATATGTTCCATTCCATTGTGGTACTCCAGCTCTGAATTAGTATGGCATTGGTCAACATCTCGGAAAGATCTAGCTAATTCCTACTGATATACAGTGGTGCCTCGCATAGCGATTGCTCTGTTTTATGACAAAATCGCTTTGTGACGAACGTTTTGCGATATTCCCTATGGGGGAATTTTCCTTTGCGATGATCGGTTCCCTGCTTCGGGAACCGAGCATCACAAAGCGATGATTTTTTTTAACAGCTGATCGGCGGGTTCAAAATGGCTGCCAGGTAAACAAAATGGCTGCCCGCTGTTTTCTGGGGCGGATTCCTCGCTTTAGAGGCAGCGAAAATGGCGGCGCTATGGAGGATCTTCGCTGAACGTTGAGTTTAAAGCCCATAGGAACGCATTAATCGCGTTTTGATGCGTTTCTATGGGCTTTTTAATATCGCATTGCGACGTTTTCGTTCTGAAGCGATTTTTGCGGAGCGAATTAACGTTGCAATGCGAGGCACCACTGTAATTAAATCTAAATGATTGCTCCTTTAATCCTCGTGGTATGACTGTTTCTGTCTAAATGCCAAGGTTCTGTTCAGCAACAAGAATTCAGTGAGGTATATGAACTTTTCAATAATGTTGTCTCTTTATAGTGTGCCTCCTTAAAAATGGGTAACTGTAGGCTTTTGTTGTCAGATTTGTTTACTAGAAAAATGTGACCTATTTTGAATGTTTCTAAAAGGTCAAAGCCACCCAAAAGAGATGAGAAGGAACGGAAGAGGAGGAGTCCTTCACCCAAACCCACCAAGCTACATGTTGGGAGACTCACCAGAAACGTGACCAAGGTAACAGCTGATCCCTCTGTCGCTCTGAGAAAGAAGCACAGGAAGACATTTTGATTGGAGATTGAGGGTGACATGAATATGTATGGACTGCTTAGTGTTACAACAGTAATTTTTTAATGAAATTAATAAACTCGGTAGTATTAGTAGATGTAGTTAATGTAGGGAATTTAGAGGCAAATTATTTGTAAAAGGAATTACGGTATTTCATGCCAGATCTATACATGTTACAGGTGAAATATCTGAAGAATAGGAAATTGTCTGGTCCTGCTGTTTACCTGTCTGGATTCCAGTATTGTTGACCCACTGGCAAAGAGTCACCAGGATCTGAGGTCCTTCCCATTGTCTCACTACTAATGCTCTTAATTATGGGAGTCTAACATTGAACTTGAGACCTTTTATTGTCAGTCCAGGCAAACAGATACAAATAAAAACATACAAAAATATCTTTAAGCATATTTAACGAAATTAATGAAAACACTATTGAGTTGAAAGCAACTTAAAAGCCTCTCTGTAAAATAAAAAAAAAATTAGGACCGCTCCAGTCTCGTTAAAGCCTCCTTCTCAGCAGCCCCATCGATCACTAAAAGTTTCTGTGAACAGAAAGGTTTTTGCATGTGGCAGAATACTGGTAGAAGGCAATTAGCTGAGCCTCATTTGGCAGGGAGTTTGCCATCTTTGCAGCGATCACCAAGAGGACCCAGGTATTTGATAAAAGCATTCTAAATATATAATTGACTAGTACTCATATTTTATCCAAATCTCATTGAAAGTATGCAAGTTACGTTGCTGCCTCCATTATGTCAGCATTTCATTTTGAAAAACAAGAATATAGACATTTTCCATGGGATATTAAGGGGAATTGTTTCTTTTACAGGATCACATAATGGAAATATTTTCCACTTACGGAAAGATAAAGATGATTGATATGCCATTCGACAGGCTCAATCCACATCTCTCCAAAGGTTATGCCTATGTAGAATTTGAGAGTCCAGATGATGCAGAGAAGGCATTGAAGCACATGGATGGAGGTAAGTGGGACGCCTTGAAGGCTCCTTCCCATCATGCAACCTGCTCAACTGTTCTGATAGCTGATAAAGAATGTCACTGCCTCTGTTCTTTTTTTAAAGAACAAACTTAAAACAAGGGATATTGGCAGGTCTTTCGGTCAGAGTCCCAAATCAGAGTCTTTGGTACCAAGTCCTAAGTCTCGAGTCCAAGTCCCTATTAAAAACAAGCTTTTTTCCCAGAAGAAAAGGAGAGAATGGGTGGTTTCAGAGTCGCAAGTCAAATCCAAGTCATGGATAGGGGGAACCTGAGTCAAGTCACTGGTGCAACTTAAGTCCAGCTTGACGAGTTTCATGCCTCGAGTCCCCATCGCTGCTTATAGCCATTTTGTCTGCAAGAAGGGTTGGTTGGTGCAGACTGTGAAACCAAACCGCTCTGTCTTCTTGACAGCTTGAAACAGATGGACCAGTTCAACATACAGTAAATACCTGGTCCAAATTAGATCATAAATAGAGGTATCTGGTCTTGCATTCTCCAACAGTTTGGGGTTTATGGGGATGGAAGATGCCATGTTTATTGCCAGTGTTTTATAAAGAGCATGGAATAATTGGGTTGCATTTTAAAAAAGGTATCTGGTCTTGCATTCTCCAACAGTTGGGGTTTATGGGGATGGAAGATGCCATATTTATTACCAGTGTTGTATAAAGAGCATGGAATAAGTTGGTTGCATTTTTAAAAAAATAAATGAAACAGATTCTTCTTCCAAAAAGACTTACAATGGTAAGGGGCAGAGAAGGTCTTTCTTGTATGCTTCCTGCCTTCCTCCTCCCTATAGCGGAGCAATCCAGCCACCTGCCAGCTTCATGCCCTGGTATTTTCTGTCCCTCTAAATAGCCAAAATTTGGATGCTGGATGGTCTCCCCCACCATTGCTGCACAGAAGACTGAGGCTGGGGAGGGGAAATGACAAGAGATGTAGAGGCTATGACGTACGGGATCACGTTCTGTTTTTGTGGTCTTCAACAGGACAGATCGATGGCCAGGAGATCACTGCCACTGCGGTCCTGGCTCCTTGGCCCAGAATGCCTCCCAGGCGTTTCTCTCCTCCCAGAAGGATGTTGCCGCCCCCTCCCATGTGGCGGCGCTCGCCACCTCGCATGAGGAGAAGGTAGGTTCATGTAGGAGGGCGGGTGAGCTGTAAACTGTATGCAGGTTTTAGCATAGCCTGTTTCTTATTCCTATGCCTTGATTAGACCACTGATTGCTACGTTGTATCTTGTGCCTTGCAATCCTCCAGATGTTCTTGGACTACAACTCCCAGAATTCCTGGCCAGCAGAGGTGGTTATGAAGGCTTCTGGGAGTTGTAGTCCAAGAACATCTCAAGGCCCAAGGTTGGGGATCACTGCTCTAGAACAGAGGTCCCCAAACACCAGTCTGTGGCCTGGTGTGAGTCCATGGCCTTAGCTGTACCAGACTGCGGAGACAGAAGTCCCCCCACCCCTGCACTCACTCCCCTTTGCACAGCCCCTTTGCACCTGCGCCCAGAACCTTTGCTCCTCCAGATCCTTACCAAGTGCACACTAGGAAGTATAAATGTTTTTGAAGAAAGGGCCCAGATTAGCAGAACCCTTGCATTAAGAGGAGACAGGTTCTCCATTTCTCACGCTGTGTGTGCACACCAGAGTATTATTTTTTTATCCTTCTGAAGCTCTTTGGAGGTATGGTAGGAGAGGAATGTAAGAAGAGCAATGCTGTATCAGACCAAAGAGCTACCTAGTCCCAAGATATTCTGTTCATACAAGGGCTGAAAAATCCTCAGGGAAGTTTGCCGGCTGGACATGAATGCCGTTAGGCTATTTGAAGGATCATATCACCTTCAAATAAAGCCTTCTTGGCTTTTAAGATCATCCGGGGAGGCCCTTCTCTCAGATCTATCGCCTTTCCAAGCTCGTTTGGTGAAGACATGAAAGAGGGCCTTCTCAGGGGTTGCTCCCAGGCTCTGCCCCATGAAGCAGAGTTAGGCCCCTCCCTCCCTCTTGTCCTTCAGTCTCTTCAGGCAGACTTTAAAGTAATAAGTGTCTCAGGAATACTTTATTTATTAAACTTAAAGATTTTAAAATATTTTCAAAATGTTAAAATTAAAACTGTTTTGAATCTTAGTTTTAATCTTAATGTGTTTAATTTTTAAATAGGTATTTATATGGTATTTTTAACTGTTTATTGTTGTATAGTTTTGGCTGTTGTGAGCTGCCATGAGTCCCCTATGGGAAGAGAAGTGGCATATATAAATCATTTCCTATCAGCTGATTTATAAAGGATACTAGCTCTGATCATGGAGATAATCAGCATCCAGACTAATAACCATTGATGGCCTTAGCCTTTCTAAATTTGTAGAAATCTCCTTTAAAACTGCTGAAGCTGGAAGCAATCATTGCGTTTGGTAGCAGTGAAACCCACAATTTAAGTGTGCAATGTGTGGCAACGTACTTCCTTTTTTGAATGTCCAGCCATTCAGCTTCTGTGGCAGACCCTCTGTTCTGTTATTATGAGGAAGGAAGGAAAATTTATCCTCATCAATGTGTGTAGGTCTTTAAAATAAATTTAAGAGGATATGAGAAGTTCTGGTAAATAAAGAGGACTAAATCTATTTTTTCTCCTAACTAATCTTTTCCTGGCAGGTCCAGGTCTCCCAGACGCAGATCCCCAGTTCGCAGACGATCCAGATCCAGATCTCCAGGGCGAAGACGACACCGCAGTCGCTCCAGTTCTAATTCTTCCCGATAAAATATAGAAAATTGGCAGCACTGTTTTTTTTTAATCTTAAAGCTCATTGAGTTTAAAATGTGTCTTTGAAAAAATAAAGGAATGGGAACAGGGCAAAGTGAATGCTGAAAAACCGAAAAACTAAGCAGACTGGCCAAGAGGATAGGGTTGAGTTCCTTCCCTTGAACAATAATGCTCTTTTAGCTTGGGTTCTGATGCTCCCAGTGAGAGGCACCCACATGGACTCTTTCCTCTGAAGACCAAGCTATGTGTCTGCTGCAAATAAAATAGAATAAAGTGGAGACTTGTGAAAGCAAAAAAGCAGAGCATTCGAAGAGTTGGCAGAATGTCCCTTTCTTCCTCCATTTCCTCAAACATGTTACACAAATTCTTTTCTTCTGACAACCCTCCTAAGTTTTGGGGTCAGACTCCTCTGACACAGGGAACATACCTAGTAACATCTTGCAGAGGGAATAGAAAAGATTGTAGATATCACATAATACCTGTTGCCATTCACTCAAATCCAAGAACTTGAAAAACAACAATAAAAAAGTTTTCTTGTAAGGCCTTCCCTTGCCGAAATAATTTTGGCACACTGTTCGTGTTCCCTATTCCTCCAGAGCAGATATAAATTTGTTTTTTAAATACAACTTTGGCAGAAAAAATGGTTTCTCTCCTCTTCCTCTTGGCCGGTGGGGATTTTCAGACCAATTGGGGTAACGAAAAATATTTGCAAAAGGCAAGAGGGCCTGCTGTACAGTCATTACTATAAAGTTTGATTTTTGTATTCCTTTGTAGCATCTTGCAGTCATGTTGTGTTTGTACTTGTGTAGAATGACAAGCTTGAATAAACCAGTAAGGTTTAGAGTGTGTGTGTGCTCATTGTCCTTCAGAAATGTAATGGGTGTCTTCTGTGTTAACAAAAACTTAACCCTGGAACAACTGCATTAACCCTACAATAACTATGCTAAATACAGAGACCATCTGTATTTAATAAGCTGAGTTACTACTGTTTTGGGTAACGGGAATAAGTATATGTAGTTTTTAAATTTAAACCTAAACTGCATTAACTCCAAGAAAGGAGATGGAACATAAACTGGTTCCAAGTGCTTGCTTTGGTAAGCACAGAGAATATGTGTGTGAATGGCATACCTGACTTGGAATCTGTCTCCAGATTGGTCCTGTTTGGGTTAAAGGCTTTGTTCATCTTGCGAAGAAGAGATGACATAGTTTAGAGGTGTCTGAGCTGCTTTTGGATCCCCTCTGGAATTTCTGTCAGGCACCAGCTGCTCATTCTCATGCACAGGGGCCTGCTGTTTTCTGATGTAGCAAATCTTCTACAACCTGATCTTGCAGGTTTTATCCCATTGTTGATGGCATTTGTGGTATCTTTATGCCTTCCCCCCCACAAGTCTTTCTCTGAGAGAGTAGGATTTGTGAAGATATACCTTTAGTTATTGTACTCATAGCTGGGTGATTAAGAGAGGATATTGCATCACAGATGAAAGTGGGAATTAAATTAGAACAGTCTTATGTCTACTCAAGGAATCCGTGAGGCTTATTCTTGGGTTAATAGGTACAGAACTACAGCCTTAATTGTGATTATTTTACAAGAGGGGAAGTCATAAAATGGTTGCTGAGATACACTTCATAAGGGGAGTTTTGCAACTCTGGGCAGCAAATTGCCACTTGTACATGAGAGATGTTGATTGTGTAATACAGTGTCTAGAATGATGGAGTAGGGCTTAGCGGATGCACGTTCGAATCCCTGTGTGTGTGTGTGTTTAGTCGTTTAGTCGTGTCCGACTCTTCGTGACCCCATGGACCAGAGCACGCCAGACCCTCCTGTCTTCTACTGCCTCCCGGAGTTGTGTCAGGTTCATGTTGGTTGCTTCGCAGACACTGTCCAGCCATCTCATCCTCGGTCGTCCCCTTCTCCTCTTGCCATCACCCGTTCCTAACATCAAGGTTTTTTCCAAGGACTCTTTTCTTCTCATGAGATGGCCAAAGTACTGGAGCCTCAGCTTCAGGATCTGTCCTTCAAGTGAGCATTCAGGGTTGATTTCCTTTAGAACTGATAGGTTTGTTCTCCAGAAACAAAAGGTTCGAATCCCTGCTCGGCCATAACTGGGGGTGTGTGGCAATGATAAAACGCTCCTTGAGCATCCTTGATCTGTGTTGAAATCTCAGTGATGGTGGCCATAATTCAGAGATGACATGAGGGCACATAATGACGACCAGATGAAATTATGAAGGAGGAAAATCAGGGAAGAAACACAGGTTTCGGTGGGAAGTGGGTATTTTAAAAAAAATGTGTAGCGGTTTGCTTCTCTTCGAAGCTGAAAACAGGAGTAAAATATTGGATTTTATTCTTTATTTCAGGCAAGGTTTAGGGTGGTCACGACTTAATCTTAAAATGGCAATCTAGTACACAACTAACTAAAAAAAAATGTACACCCTCGGTTTTCACTGAACTGATTTTGAACTGCCAACAATGAGTAGGAAAATAAATGGCGGGACTTCCGGTTCCAGGCTTTAGCCTGCGCCATTTTCCTTTTCCCGCCCACCGGTGAGCGAAGAGTCGCCTCCGTTTTGCGTAACTGCCGCCTATCTCTTCGAAGGGGGCGGAGACGGAGGCGGGGCTTGCGCACGAGCCCTAAAGGTCGAGTGGAGTCGACGGCACCCAAGGGAAAAGAAGCATCCAATCAGCGAGCAAGCTGACCATAGAGATTTAAATTTTAAAAGGATAGCGCGGCCCATCCTGACTCTTCCGAGGAAAGTCGTCACTCAGCCTCTCAAGTGGGATTCTCTAAAGACGCCGCGTAGAGATAGGAGGAGGAATTAGAGCGTTGCGCATGGCGTCACTTCCCGTCCCATCTTTGGAGTCCTGAGGCTTGTGTTCCCACGGTTCTCTCTGCGGGAGTTGCAGAGTGGTCCGTCCCCTCCATGGTTCGTGCGGAAAACCAACCCCACACCCTCAGTTCTGGTCGTGAGTGAAAAGATTTTTTGGGGGGAACCCAATAGTATCTTTTTTTCTCTTGACAGAGGAAGGATTTTTGGGGGGGCGGCGTGGGGAGGTAGGTGTCCCCAAAGATGAGGAACAGCCTGTCGGCAGCCCTTCAGTTGAAATCTCCTGCCTTGTCAGGCGGCTGGAATACACGAGCTTGCCTCAGATTCTGTGAGTCTACCAATCATGGGGTTTGCTTGCTGTAATTTTCAGTATTGATGTTAGCTGTAAGGTAAAGGTTCCCCTTGACACTGAGTCCAGTCCGCTGGTCTTTTGACCTTGCAGCGAATTTTAATATATTTTCTATTATAAGGTTCCCCTTGACATTGAGTCCAGTCCGCTGGCCTTTTGACTTTGCAGCAAATTTAAATTGATTTTCTGTTATTATCTGCTTATTACATTATGGAGTAGCATTGCTGTTACGTGCTGTCAAGTCTCCTGTAGGTCTGATGGCAATTTTTAGAATATAAATTTTAACTGCATTTAAATTCTTTTACCCTTTTATTTTGCCTTTTTGTTCCCCTTGACATTGAGTCCAGTCCGCTGGCCTTTTGACTTTGCAGCAAATTTAAATTGATTTTCTGTTATTATCTGCTTATTACATTATGGAGTAGCATTGCTGTTACGTGCTGTCAAGTCTCCTCCAAAATGAGCCATCTCCAAAATGTCCTGTCCTGAATACCCCTGCTCAGCTCTTGCAAACTCAGAAGTCTGAGGCTTCCTTTTAGAGTGTCAATCCGTCTCGTTTCTGGTCTCCCTCTTTTCCTGCTGCCGTCCACCTTTCCCAGCATGATGATGGTCTTTTCCAGAGAATCCTGCCCTTCTCATGAGGTGCCCAAAGCAGGACAGTCTCAGTTCCGTCATTTTTGCCTCCAGATAGAGTTCAGGCATGATTTGCTCCAGGACCCACTGCTTCTCTTTCAGACAGTCCAGGGTATCCACAAAGCTCTCCTTCAGCGCCATATTTCAAACGAACCCAGACATGATGATCAGAAATACAAGAGCATGAATGGTCTTGGTCTAGGATATAGATCTCATAAAAGAAAGCTTAACTGAACAATCCTAGATATATGTGGGGATCAGTCCCATGGCCTATGGAGTTTACTTCTTAGTAGACATGTATAGAATTGCACTGTTGGTCTTCTTTTTATTTTTTATTCTTTTTTTATTTTTGTTTCCTTTTCTTTTAAAACATCCTTCCCTTGGCAAGTATGAATTGGGGATGCCTGTGGTCACTTTTCCCTTTCCTGTATATTTATTTATCCTTCTCTCTGCTGTGCTTATCTTGGTTTTAAATTTCATCTTCTTTGCAAACAAAACTCAAAAGACCCAAGGAAGCACTTGTGGTGATAGTGATGCCTCTCACGGACCAGGTGAAAACGAATGCAGACTAGGCGACACTGAACTTACTCTGACACTTAAAGAATGCGGTAGATTTTTATTGGTCCAACTGGGATTTCATTCCTTTTTGAGAAAGCAAGGAAAAGGGGGAAACAAGTATTCAGTGCCCCTTTCCCTCTAAGTAGGTGCAACAAAGCATAACCTTCTAAGTGTTGGACCACATCTTCCATCCACCATAGCCAGAATAGCCAACATTCAGGGATGCTCTTAACTGAGCCTTAGCAACATCTGGTGGGCTAAACTTTGACCTTCCCTTATATAAGCCATGTGCAGGGTGGGAGTACTCTGAGAACATGCTCGGAGGTCTTCCCGTTACAAAAGAAAGGGATGTGCACTTATGTTAATGGGATATTTTCATAGTCATAACACACAGGGCTAGCAGATCCAATGCAGAACATCGGGAGTAGCGTCTGTATTCCTGAGAGATAGGAAATCCTATTCAGAACTTTAGTTGGCTGTTCCATTAACTGTTATTAATTAGAAGTCCTAATGCCTATCGCATAAGGATTTGAATAATAATGACGTGTTTCACATTATGTTTGAAAGGAAGTGTTTCTATAAGTTTATAATCCTCTTTTTTGTTTAATTCTGTATCTATACTGTGTTAATGTTCAAACTGCTTTCATTTCTGCAGGTCTTTTCTCTGTCGTACTGACTACAGCCCTTTTTTCCTAAGTCTAAAGAACTGAATTTGTGCTGCACTTCCTCCAACCTCTGTAATCTTCATGTCTCCTCGTTTTCCGGAAGTGACCAGGAAAAATGGATTCTGATTTGTCGCATACAATCCAAGAAGCAATTGGCATTCTCAATTCCTGCAAAGATGGCATCCAGATATCTAAGACCTTGTGCACAGTTAAGAGCTATCTGGATGGAAGTAATGTTTCACCGAAAGAAAAAGAAGAATTTATCCACAGTCATTTTACTCCCTTTCTGCAATGTCTTATATGTAACCTGAGTCCTGATTGGGAGGAGCAGTTCCAGGAAAATAAGCAGAAGGAATTATGGCTTAGCTTTTTCTTGGAAGGACCAGCAGAGCAATCTTTTATGGTTCTTTTGGACTCCATCATTTCTACAGAGTAAGTATGACTTCTGAGCTGTAATTTCTAGTTCTGCAATTTGGCAGTTCCTTTTGGAGTCTTGCTCTGTGCTTAAGGACCCAGCTGGTTAAGAAGCAGCTATTGCTATGGACACCAGATGGGTTTATTAGATTAGAAGTCCATAATCCTTAAAAGCTGGTCCAGAATAATATGGCCAGACCAATGATTGTGGCCCCTTTCAAAGACCACATGACTCTGTTATGAGAGCTTCTCTGACAACTGCAGTATTTCTTGAATCAGTTCCAAATGCTTCTTATCTCCAATAAAGTTGTATGTATCTTAGGACCAGGTTATTTGAAAGGCTTCTTTTACCTATGAAAATGTGTCTGGGCTTTAAGATTGCTGATGCTTCAGTGCAGAAAGCCCTGGGGCAGACAGCTTGATAATCATGTGCGGTTTCTCAGCAGCTGCTTCCTGTAAATTTTAGGTTTTTTCCTGCTGCCTAGATATTAAGAGTGCAGTTCCCATCAGTCATCCTGCTAACAGGACTGGTGACCAGGAATGGTGAGAGTCGTCATCCCACACATCTGGAGAGGGCCTGTTGCATTTTCTCTTCCTCTGGAATTAAAATTAATCCATCTCTCTGCAGGCCCAGTTTTCGTCTGAATAAAGTTGTTGATGTCCTGGAGCAGTTCCTTCAGCAAACCGGACTGTCTGATTTGATGTGGGAGGTCTGCAAGCAACAGACGCAAGTTGGTGTTCCACCTCTGCAAGAAGCTATTCTCAGCCGGGTCGTCTGTCTCCCCGACCACTTGGGCAACAAACTCCAGGAACGTAACCGGCCCATATTCTTTCCCCAGAACTACTTTCCGTTGCTCGGCACGGAAATTATCAGGGTGCTAGAAAAGATTTTTGCTTCACTTCGAGGTGAGATGGGAGAGCCTCTTATCGCTGTGGTGTCAGTCTGTAGTTCAGATGTATAAAGCAGAACTGGGCTTAAAGCTTCATTGTGAACTTCTGTCTGGAAATTTAGGTCTTAGGGCAGAGGGAGAGGAAAGTGAAGAGGTGACGCCAAAGGAGCAGCAGAAAAATTACTCCTTTCTCTCAAACTTGATTTGTTACGGCAGCACTTCTCTGAATAACCCCATTTCTATCTGAACAATTAGCTGAGCTCAGCAGGTTTAGACCCCCCCTACCTATCCAGAGGACTAGTGGCCATCCTAGCAGTCCAAAGAAGAAATGTTCCTAAGCTTTAAATAGATTCTGTATTTAATCTCACTCTACCATCAGTATCTAGAGTCCCCCACCCAATTCATACAGTCCTGAAATGGTGGATAACATTTCATGCATCTGATGAAATGAAAGAGGGGCCATGAAAGTCCTCTCTTAATTCTAGAAATGTATTTTGAAAAATCCCTTTTTTGTTTTTGTTTTCACTGGAGTGCTTAATGGGGATTCAAAAAACTGTAGTCTGAAAAGGGAGCTTCATTATGCAATTTCTTCGTTAAACGAAGCACTCGTCTTGCGAGGCACCACTGTATTTAGCTCCATGTCTTGTATCCTCAGGAGACTGCTCTTTTAAACTTGAGCCCTATTCAGCTTTGTGATTCTAAGTGAGAGTGTAGTTCATTGGTATAGAACAGTTCCATTTGGGATGTTGATCTGACTGTCATTGATGATGTAACTTTTATTTTATTTCAGGTGGCTTGGACTGCTCAATCTCATTTGTGTCTCAAGTGCTAGGAAAGACATGTGTGCATGGAAAACAACGTAAGTTCCATTTAAATTGGCTGTGTTCTCCTATTTCAATTAAATGGCTTGATTTGTACAGACCCCAATGTGTCAGTAATTTATGGTTGCAGAATATGGAGAGAAAGTGGTGTAAACTCCCTTTCTGTCACTATGAGGCTGATTTTTAAAGAACACAACAAGGAAACAAAATATATCTTTCAGGAACAGCAAACTCATGTTTGGGGCGTAGACTTGTGTTCTGATAGGGAGGTTTGGAATGTTTTCTTGCTTCTTAATTTTGGTTATTGGCCGAAAGATGTACGAAGGATATTTCTTGCCCTTCCAGCCCCAAAGCAACGGCTTTTGTTCTCTTTTGATAACAGAAGAAATCTTGAACGTCTTGGTGCCCCAGCTGACCGAGCGCACCCAGTCTGATTGCATCTGGCAGAGAATGTGCTGGCGGTTGGTTGAAAGTGTGCCAGATCGCTGGATGGAAGCCGTGATCTGTGGCTTTGTTCGGGTCTCAGCGAGGTAAGAAGTCGAGGTCCGATGTGATGGGTACGTGTAAATCTTCAGTCCATCTCATGGCAGTGTTTGTGAATTGCAATTGGAAAGGTATAAAAAAAATTTAAATTGCTTTCTACCAATTCAGATCCAGAGATTGGAAGATTTATTTGTTTACTGAACCACAACTGTCAGAAAGGACTGGATTTTCCCTTTTGTCTGATGTAGCTGGGCTTTTCTTGGGACCTTCGATGTCAGCTCTATCTTTAAAGTTAATTCATACAGAATCTCCTGCTTTGTTTTATCGTCCCTAGTGGACTGCGGGTAGCTGGCTGGATAGCGCATGGGTTCAGGTAGCTGAATGCAGAGCCTAGATTCGGCTTTTCTTGGGACCGTCGAATGACAGCTCTAGCTTTAAAGTTAATTCATACAGAATCTCCTGCTTTGTTTTATCGTCCCTAATGGACTTGCAGGTAGCTGGCTGGATAGCTCAAGGGTTCAGTAAGCTGACTGCATAGCCCGATTCTCCACTGCGCCTCCTGCAAATGGAGCCAGCCTGGGGGCCTTGGGCCAGTTGCACAGTCCCCGGGTGGCCCTGAGGAGAAGGGAGAGGCTGGGTGGCCTTGGGCCAGCTGTACAGTCCCTGGGTGGCCATGAGGAGAAGGGAGAGGTGAACTGCTTCTGAGTCTTCTCTTCCTCGAGGACTCTGAAAAGTGTTGCCCAAAGTCAGAATTGAAGACACATGATTATTATTAATCTGATTGATTGATTGATTGATTGATTGATTGATTGATTGATTGATTGATTGGCTCACAACCGTTGCAACTTTTGCACATCTTTTAACTGCATATTTATTTTTGTCTGTATTTTTTTTGTCTTTAAGTGAAGGCATGTTAGTGAGATGAAGAACTATCCGGGGCGGGATTTAATTTTAGTCCCGAACCAGCTGGCTTGTGAAATATCACCATTGCCAAATGACAGTCCTACTAAGATGGTAGGAGAGAAGAAGGTTCATCAATAATGTGAATGAACGGCAGAATTTGACATTGCATTCTGGAATGTTTAAAGATACCCAGACACCTTGCTGTAGCTTTTTAATACATTTTATGTTTAATTTCATTCAGTTTTTAGTTTAGTTGTTGTTTCTTTCTCCGTTCCCTTTCTTGTCTTCTGATGTTCTGATGATGCAAGAAGTCTAAGCATCTTTTTCCCAGGAGACTGAAGCTGAGACATTCTTTTGACATCGGCATTATAATTGCTAATGCCTTCTTGACTTCCGATTCCAAATAAGCTGGTCACAAGCTTGCCCTTTCGTGACATGAAACAATAAAAATAAAGAAGAAAACATTTAACGCCAGGAATGTTTTCTTTCTTTTGTTCTGTGTTGCTAGGCCTGCTGCGTTGTCACGGTTGTTGGGAAATGTGGTCGTCAAAAGCAAGAAGGCTCAGTTTGTCATGACCCAGAAATTGCTGCTGCTTCAGTATAGCTATCCGGTAAGGCTTCTTGGAGGTCATGGACACTCGGGGGTCTCAGCTCTGCTGCTTTTGATAAGGCTTGATGCCCTCTTCTTGTAGAACTATGGAGTCTGCATAAAGGGAAATAACAATATCATCCTGTTCTGCTTTGGTCAGACATCACCTGAAATAGCGAGTAGCAGAATGTTTCAACCTAACAAGAAAGACGTCCAGAGAAGACTAGCTAGATTGAGTCTGGGAAAGACTGTGGATAATCCCTAAGGACATTTTGGAAGACATACTGTGGCTTCTGTGTGTTGGAAGCCACCCGTCAGTATATTTCAGTACTGTGCCAGAAAGCGGCTTTTTGGTCTTTATAACCACCAGCCGGATTTGGCCCGTCAGGATCTCCCCTCTGGCATATCATCTCTTTGACACAACCCACTGATTTGCCCAGGCCTTCTCCTTCCTCAGATTTCACAGTTTAGCACTCACAAAAGGGTGGGGTGTTTTTCCCCCCCTGTGCGGTGCTTTTATCACGGAACTTATCTTCCTATATTATGAACTGGATGAAAGGTATCTGATGTACAATTCCTAGTCTATAAGAGAAGATCATGTGAAAGCAGTCAATGTCATAAATCTCATTCATTCCCACATTTTTCAGTAGTCTTTTTTTTTTTTCTTGGAACTTCTGCTTGTGCCCCTGCAAGTCTTTCATGTTTTCACTTCTATGGTTTCGTTACAGACATCAGTGTTGCAGACGCTCCTTGGGTACTTGGCCCTGGATAGCACGCGGCGTCCATTACTGAACAAAGTTAGACGGAAGGAGAAGCCGATCCAGAGGCATCCATCTTGCTAGGGGTGGCTGACGCTCAGTCTGGAAATCCATCTCCTTCAAGGTGCAAACTGTTGGGGAGTTTTGGTTATTCTTTTTAGATCGCACAGTATGAGGTAGAAGAAGAAGCAGGAGCAGCACAGAAAAAGTCAGGGTGATCAGCCCCTGCCAAACTAGCTCTTTGCTATGGGAAAAGTACTCTAGAAGCGTTGAAAGTAGAAAACAGTGTCTTTACTTCCAAGCTTTCTCAAGTCAAGACCCCACTGTAGAAAACAGTGTCTTTACTTCCAAGCGACTATTGGTAGCTGGTGAACTAGGTTGGGCTGAGAGGGGTGACCTGCCCAAGATCAGCCCGGAAGCTTCGTGGCTGAGTTGGAGTTTGAGGCTGGATCTCCCCAAGCCTAGACGGGCATGCGAACCTCACTGGCCTCCCACCGCTCATGCGCTGGCTGGAAGATTAAGCCGAGCCCGTCAAGGGCTGCTGTGGGTTCCCCTCCCAGCGGGAAGCGGAGCTGCTTGGCCTTTGCTTTGGAGGTGTTGGGCCGGCTCAAAGGGAGAAGCTAACCCGCCCCTCCTCTTCCCTACACATCATGGGCTCACAAAGCAACGCCTGCCTTTCGCCCCCCCCCCAATGATCCTTTGAAATTGATAAGACAAGGCATCTCCTCCTTGAGTCTCACAAGGGATCCCGAGGAAATGGAAGGGAGCATTTTGCTTCCGATGGTTCGGTGTCCTGCTGCTCCTGGGCACGGCTGTGGATGGGGAGCCCTTTGGATCCCATTTTGTCATTGATAAAGAAGGGGGGAAGGGTTAGGGGTTGAAAACAGGCCTTTGGGAGGACAGTCGGTCCTACGCAGGGAAGTCAGGCTCTCGCTGTTCTCACGGTCCAGCTGTAGAACAGCTGACCTGGAAAGACACACCCAGGGCAGGGCGTCCCAAACTCTTTATCGGTTGGAGCCAGTAGGGGACCCCAACCCATCTGCAGATCCCCTTTGCCCCCTGTGAAAGCCACAAATCTGTCAAGGGAAAGTCTAAGGCTCTTACAGCAGCAAGAGGCCCTCAAAGGAGGCTGGCAGGGTTGGCGCGCCCACCCAGTGCCGTCTGGACCCTGACTCTCAGTTTCTCATGCAGATTTTGAAAGAGCTGCTGGAGACCTGGGGAAGCAGCAGCGCAGTAAAGCACTCTCCCGCAGAGCAGCAGCTGTACATCAGCAAGGCCATTCTGATCTGCCTCTCTCATCTGAAAGAAGAGGAAATAATGAGTAGCAGGCAAGGTAGGGGTTGTGGACAGAGTAACGGACCAGGACTCTGGAGAACAGAGTTCAAATCCTCGCTCGGCCACGGAAGCTGGCCGGGGGAGTGGATCTGGTAAAACTACTTACCTATTTCACTTGAAAGCCCTATTAGGGTCACGGATCTTTATTTTTGGCTGGGTTTTTTTTTGTGAGGGTCTGGAAATATTTGTCCTCCTTGGTGGCTGCCGTGTTTTGTGGTTGACTGTCTTCTGCTTGCCTTCTTAGAGCTGCTCACAAGCCTGATGGAAGGGATGAAGTGCCATCTGGACAGCAACCTGCCGCGCATCCGTCACATGGGGATGGTTGTGGGAGAGTGTGTCAGCGCTAGGATGATGCCTGAAGGGCCAGCTTTGAAATTTGCGGTAAACCAGCGGAGAGAGAAATTTCTTTTTATGGAAAAAAAATATATTCCTCTGGATTCTGTGGGTGGGAGATCTCTTTGCTGCTGGTATCTGATTCGTGTCATATAAGGTTGAAGAGGAAAGAGAGGGAGCGCAGAATGGCTCAGATATTGAAGGTTTGCAAAGGTGCCTGAACAGAGATCCAGGTACATGTGCTCCCTCTCTTTTGCAACCATGATAAAAGTCTCACTTCAAAAGCATGCTACTTGTACACCACCCCGTAGCGCTTCAAACAGTCTCTGGGCAGTTTACAATTAATAAAGCTAGGTAAAGCCCAATGTTGAGCTGGGGTACTCAATTTACCAGCCTCAGAAGGATGGAAGACTGAGTCAGCCTCAAGGCTGGGATCAAACTCAGGTTGAGAGCAGTCTTCACTGCAGTTTAGCCACCGCACCACGGGACTCCTACATCTGAATTTAGGGAAACTCTCATTTGTTAGAAGAAGGCCAGATCAAGCCAGGGTTTCGCCCTTCATCCCTTCTAAGCTTATTTGGAAACCTGAGGTCAGAAAATTTATTTATTTATTTATTTATTTATTTATTTATTTATTTACTTACGTACTTACTTACTTACTTATTTAGCCCGCAGCGCCACCACGTCCCGCAGGTTACATATTCCCCCCCCCCATGGTGAGCTGGGGTACTCAATTTACCGGCCTCAGAAGGATGGAAGACTGAGTCAGCCTCAAGCCTGGGATCAAACTCAGATCGAGAGCAGTCTTCACTGCAGTACTGCAGTTTAGCCAACGCAGCGCGGGGCTCCTACATCTGAATTTAGGGAAACTCATTTGTTAGAAGGCGGCTAGATCAAGCCAGGGTTTCACCCTTCATTTAAAAAAAATCACAGTTGTCCACATTTGAACAGGGAGCTGTGGCTTGTTTTAAAGCAGACACAAAAGCTTACAATTTCCA